CATTTCAGTTGGATTCGAGTTGCGAGCGGGTGGGTTGGCATCGATTCGCTAACGCTTTGCTCTACTCCTGTCCTCTTGACAGATTCGTTGATGTCGTCTATGCTTTCTCTGAAGGGGCTCTCTTCGACAATCTCACTGATGCGCGGCTCATCGACAGCCTTAACAGTGAGTTAGTTGTTCACAAATTACTCTCACGTACACTGCACATCCCAGCGATGGAGTGGGCGTGGCTGCGTACTTTACCTAAACATGGCGCAGGATGGGTTGTTCAAGGAATATTGCCATTTTATACCAGTGTTGTCCTGTCTTGAACAGGACAATGTCATGGTTGCAATGTTCTGTAACAGCAATTTCTCCCCAGAAGCTGCCACCACGTTTAAGTGAAGTGCGCAGTCGCAGTCTTCTCTGGGATATGGAGTTTATGTGAATGTAGCCATCAGGGAATCTCAAAAGCTCTCCAGAGCAGCTTGCGGACCAGAGTCAGTTTTAGAGCACTAGGCTGAACTGATAAGATCTTCCTGTAGGCTGTCATGAATTGTAGCTCTTTGACTGCACTTGAGACGGTAAAGTGGGGAACAAACCACTAAGCACGTAGGTTCCGCCCATAGAAGAGCCTCTCAATCCATGCATACATAAAGCAAGTGAGGCAATGTGCAGCATAAATTTAATCAGTGAGAGTGACGGCAATAGAAAGCTGACGAGGTTGCTTAATTTAATATCAAAAGGGAAATAGCACCCTAAGTTCTCCGCTTTGTTCCCATTTATGCGCCCAAATTGGTGGCAGAAGTTAGAACCCCGTCCCTTCCGGCCTTTGAAATTTTGATTAGGTTCCCTTCCTGCTAGTTTTCACGTGCACTACGACTCAATCACCGTTCACCCAATGACGGCCTCGAACAGTGTTTATTGTACATGGAATTCACCGAAGCAGAAGGAAATGAGGTGTGGGCATATCCTGTGTCAGGAGGAAATCCATCCTTTTTCACAAGATTCGGCAACTGATGAAAAGACCTAGATTCGGCAACTGATGAGAAGAATTAGTTGTTAGCACTGAAGTCAGTCGAGTTGTGTCAGGGGCGCGTACAGTCGCCAATCCGGGCGGTTGAGAACTTGATTAGGCGGTCAAAGGGTCGCACACCCGCAGACGCGACTGCGGCGCGTCACGACCACGGCGGTCAGTTGTTTCGAGCCTATTCAGCCATTTTCTCTCTTATTTTCTCTGTTTTCGGCTGCTTTTATTAAGGTTAGTTGTTACTTTTTTCACAAGGTAAATTATAATTGTAATTTCTCTAGTTTTCGCGACAATAAACAATTAAAACAAACAACCAATCAAAAGTCTGAAAATCGCAAAAAATCACTTTATTTACGAAAGCAAATAATGAGGGATTCATGTTCTAGTATACTTCATAAGACTGTAACACATTTTGCAATTGAAAAAAAAATAGAAAATGCAGTCTAAATTAGGTAGAAAATGGCTAAATAGGCTGGAAACAGCTGATCGCCGCTGTCGTGACGCGCCGCGGCCGCGTCTGCAACCCTTGACCGCCTAATCAACTGCACGGATGACGACTGTATGTTTCGGAGCAGCGCCACCTCTTTCCCACTGCTCATTGAAAGCTGTAAGCGCATGCGATTAAATATGAAACAGGTTGGCGCCGCGTCAAAAACCTCTTCCCACTGACACGCTCGCTGACTTCATGTGATAACAACTGGATCTGAAACCAAAACCAATCCAAAGCGATGTATAGGAGCCTTTTGAATGGGTCTGGATCAAACAGCGCGCTTTGAATTGAAGCGGTGCGACCTGCACACACTCCATATCCCGGAGATAGAGTGGACATGGCTGCGCACTTCTTCAACCTGGCAGCGGCTGCGTTTCTAGTGAATCTTTTCGGGATTTTTTCATTTCGGGACAATTGTGGGTCAACGTCTTGTACAACAAGACTGAGAACAGCTGTTTCCAAATGGAAGTATCTCACGAAAAACGGATCCTGCGCTATGTCCGAATGAAGTCCCCCTGTCCCCAAATCCGGAATATGAAGTGTTCCATGAGCTGCGTTACCTCCTTTCATTCCTAGGGATGCTATCCTGTCATTTCAATACTCTACTGAGGCTGCCCGAATTTATGACATTCCTGAATTTTACCTTTTACAATAATGAAGCTTATGTTTTCATTGAATTCCTACTTCAGCTGTTTCGATGCCGTACAACGAAATTTCCGACAGTATCATCAGGGCAGATTCTCCACTCGCTCAGTCGCTAACTCATCTTAATCAGGTCAGTGCACCATAGTCCACAGAGCAGAAGGCATCTAAAACAGTTAGGCAGTTACTATACCGATGAGATGATTGTTGGTGGTGAAAACCATTATGCTAAGAAGAATCCCTTTGAACTAACTGTTATAGAGAAAAAACATTACATTATACACTATCATGATACTCCGCCCCAGCCTTCTGAAGGCCACGCGACCGTGATTCTGTGCCTGAATTCAGAGGGGTCGTTGGTTTCTCCGCCACTGTAGACCACCCTGTTGAGCTCCGCTCGGACCCGGTAATCAGGGGGTTCAGGTCAGGTGACATACTTAGATATTCCGTCTTCTTCAGTTACTCAACGCCCTTCAGTTCCAAGTAGGCGGAAGTTTTTCCAACGCCTTTCGATTCCGTGTGGAGGCACCCAAACCTGTAGCAGTGCAAAGTTTCCAAGAAGGTGCGGGCGACGACATGTGAGCAGGATATTCTTCACGAGTTGCTCAATGTAACCGCCAGCGCTCACCTTCAGTCCGGGGTCCACGAAGAAAATATTGGTCTTTCCATTCCAGGTACGTCCGGTCCATACCATCAACCCGCGCCTTGGCGACTGAAGATGATGTCCTAGACCGTAGCGACGTTGTCGGAGCTGCTCGATGTTGGAGGTCTTTCAGATCAAGAGTACTGGTCTCCAGGTAGCTATCCATGGGTGATTCCATACTAGAAGTTCGCAGCTGTTTGGAGGTGACGTGAACCCCAGAGCTTTTCCAGTCAGGCGGCGATTGGAGATGACTTGATACTTCGGTGTACATGAAGGTGAGCGAGAGCCAGCTCCTGCTTATCGAGGAACATCTTGGGTATCTTCCGCCCTGGTACTCGTATCCACGTCCTCTGTCTGGGCAGCGAAAACTTTGCTGATATGTGACTCGGTCGAAGTGACTTTTTTTGCCCCCCCATATGTATTCCTAGAATATCGATTATCTTCTCATTTTTCGATTTTCGGCTCATTCTCAGTCATCAGTTGTCTTTCCACATGATCGGCATTTCCAGGAAAGAAAGTTGCTCCCGAAGAACTGGGAACGACAGATGCTTTGTTAGGCTTTCTGCTGAGCAGCTCAAACGTGGGAAAAAGAATGAGCTCATTAGTCATTTCTGGCTGATCCTGGAAAAGAGGCTAAAATGTGAACAGCAAGAATGATAGCAAATGAATCTCAAATAAAAAGTGGCGTGATGGATGAATCCTTTTACAGTAGCTCATTGGAAGAGGCGCTAATGCATTCCGCTCACAGAGGTCTATTATGAATCTTTCCCCTTTTTTTATTTCCAGCTCTAGATGAGCTCAGACCGGTTGGACGGTAATCCTTTAAAGGCAGTTGGCACGATAATTTCGTACTGAGCCTAAAATGCTAGCAGGGCGCTACCTATTTAGGAAAATGGCGAAAAAACGAAGTGAAACGGTCAAAAACTGCGAAGAAAAGCCTTCGTTCTTGAAAAGCAATTTCGGACGAGTTTCCCGTAGGCGTATTGCAAATAACCGCTCCGGTAGTTGCGCTTCCATGTATGTATTCATATATCCATTCAGCACCGCAGCCGCTTCATACCAATCTCTTCGTTCATATTTTGAAATAGCAAGTGAAGCAAAACGAGCATCTGGTAGGGTCGTCCATTTGTGGTGGGCGGGCGTGGTAGGCGTTTGGGTCGGTAAGTTGTAGCTTGATAGGACCCTTATAAGGGTACCTCCCTAGGAAAAACCGCTACGCAGGGCCTGCTCAGGGTCGCGGAAATCCGCCTCAGATCGTCTTTGGGGATTTATCGTGCCAACTGCCTTTAAGAATTTAGTCGCTTGAAACCGCTCTTACCTTACGGTAAGCTTACTCCCCGAACCAAAAGCAAGCCACCCTGATACTGCCAGTGCAACTACTGTAAAACGCTGAGGGAATGACCCAAACTCCATACCTATACTCCTTATCCCTGAGACGGGGTAGGCGTGGCATTCGAACATGGCACAGAACTGGTTACTCGTGGGATATTTCAATTTGAGACAACCGCCATCTTGTTCTTTGTTGGACAGAGACGTGACCACAAATGAGACATCTCTCCAAATAAACTACCGCGACGTTTAGTTGAAGTTCGCGCCACGCCTACCTCTTCTCATGGATTTCGAGTGCATACTTTCTATCCTACTATATATAATCCGCTAAGTGTGTGTGTGTGTGTGTGTGTGTGTGTGTGTGTGTGTGTGTGTGTGTGTGTGTGTGTGTGTGTGTGTGTGTGTGTGTGTGTGTGTGTGTGTGTGTGTGTGTGTCACGAAATTCATAACACCTGTCCCAGTGGCAGAGAAACGTTGATTCCAGGAAGTGATGGAGGGGGTGTGACGGGAACACCATTGGTGGGTGACAGGATGTGATATCAGTTGATAAGATTCGATAAGAGGCGTCCAAAGGGGATGGTCACCAGTCCATAGTGCGGGCCACAGCAGCAGTGGGATCATATAATATGAAACTCACCTCCTTCTTGATCCGAGTGCTAAAGTCTACAAGAAGTAGGAGCCCACCTAGCTAGTTGTAAGGGTGCAGCCGGGAGCCCCATCTTAAAGCGACATAGGGGAAGCGGCAAAGTGCCGCTCACTAAAATCTTGTTGACTCCGTGTGAGATCGTGGTTGTTTGGCGAGTGAACTGGCCAGGAAATACCCGCCTAATTTTCGCACGTCGTCACCATGTAGATCTGCTGGTCGCGCTACGCCTACCTTTCCCAAACATCCGCAATGGAACGTCGTACATCTCAGATTTTACTCGCCATTGCATCGTTTCGCTGGGCTGTCAAAAAATCTTCAGTCCTCTGTGTCACATGTGCACTTGCTGCTCATTAGGTTACTCGAGCCTGGGCAATTACCATGTCCATTATTCCCTGAAACGTGCTAGATGCTAGATGTGTTCAGTGGGTTCTTTGCTCTTTAGAAATACACTTTAGGCTAGCCGTTCGGAGGCTACACGGTTCAATATTTCAAAATGTCATGAGCAGATATACTTACCGCAGCAATTAGTTTGGGCGGTGTCAATAGCCACCGCGGAATTAGCCCACCCGCGGCGCTTTCTACCACTTGCTGCTCTTCCCGAATCAATCACTAACTGAATTTTAGTAGAGAGCTCGTTCGGGGCGGGCTCATCGCTTTTTCCCTCACACCGCCTGACTGATTGCGACGATATCAACTATAAAAGATGAGGTGAATATTGCAATATTCCTTTGGTGCAGTTTGACCATGGGAGGAGGGGGCATTTTGCACTTTCGCTACTTCCCATCGACGTGTCGACCTATCTAGGCAGCCTCTTCTCGAGTTGACAGGTTTTACCATGATGGCTAGATGAGCTTGCTCCAGCTTCACAAGAGTTCACAGGTTTCGCCAGAGTGAGACTTGTAAACCGGAACTAGGGAAGCAATGATAGTACAAAATGCCCCCCCCCCTCCTCTCCCCCGTCGTCAAACTGCGTCGTTTCTTCATTTGTAAACTAACGATTAGGTGGCTCCGTGGTGTCTATGAACCCCTTCACGGAACTGATTCACCCTAGTATTTGGAGAATTACCAACGGGAGCAACGACAACAACAACGACAACGCCCTTGATAAATGGGCATTTATTTAACCCATGTACAGTCGTCATCCTTGCACTTGATAGTCAATGTCAGTGCGGCTGCGTGCGGCGCGTCGCCCGCACCCGTACTGCACCAATCGTTGAACCAGGAAGTGACATTACTGTATTATATCCTTCGTGTTACTCGTTTTCTATCACTTTTTGTCGCATACGCGTTTCAACGAAAAGGCTGAGAAGGCTTCAAACAGTGTGCACGCTCCTTCTCGCCGACACGCCCCTATCAAGTGCAAGGATGACGACTGTAACTCTAATGTACAGTGGTTCTGAAATTGATTTTTGCTCATTGAAAGCTCTTGCTAGGCTGTTCGGCTCGGAGACGCTCAATCCGTTTCGTCGTTCTACTGTGCTACCTCATGCCCATCAAGTGTGCGTTAGGTTGCTAAGGCAACGTTCAGACTTCGCGACGGCAGCGCTTCGGTGACGCGATCGATGCAGTTGAAAGCATGCGCATCGATCGCGTCGAACGCGCGACCGAAGCGCTGCCGTCGCGAAGTCCGATCGCTGCCTGAAGGGCGCTCAGTACTTGCACTGGCACGGCCACAGCCCATCACATCACAAAGCAACGTTCCCATCTGAGAAGGAAAAGCTAGCAGTAGCCTCCGCTGAGCAGGGCTTTGTTATTCACTGGGCACAAAGCACAGCATTATTAAAATTTTCTTCAGAGCAGGGAGCGTACTCAGGCTCTGCTAGTAGGTTCGGTTTTCTCAAGGCTGTCGACTTTTCTAAGTTTTTTTTTTCCTTTTTCACATATGCTATATATTTCCTTCTAGACAGCAACAACGTTTGGTTTCTTTGTTCCTTCGTTTCTGAAGTTGGGAACTCTAATTGTTCGGTGACAATCTCTCCAGACCGCCCTCCCTTACCCTCCCCCAGGGTTCCTTGCGAAGAAGTGGAAAATTTCCTGAAACACTGGACCAAAGAGGAAGGTTGGCATGGCGCGAGATGGCAAGGAGGTCGTACCGAAGGAAGTATTTTGGTAGATGGTCTCTCTGACACAGCACATCTCTCCCATCCGGATGCTGTAGCCTGGCTGTGGCTGAGGAGGTATTATTAAGGAGGTACATGGCCCGCTGTCCGCTCACTGAAGCGCTCCATTATCGCGTGAGACAAAGTCCATGGGACTGCTTTTATAGCGTCTCAAATTCCAAATGAAGATATTTGCATACTGATAGCAGGTGATTGCTGCGGGACACAGAAAAACCCAAGTACAGTCGTCATCCGGGTACTTGATTAGGCGGCCAAGGGTCGCGACGCGGCTGCGGCGTGTCACGAGCGCGGCGATCAGCTGTTTCCAGCCTATTTTAGCCATTTTCTCCTAATTTACACTGTTTTGGCTGCTTTTCTCAAGATTAGTTGTTCCTTGTCTTCCTCTTTTTTTTGCGCACAATTAAACAGTT